TAAAGCAGTCAAATCATGACAGTAATTTTCTTTTCCCCATCAGTCCTTATAGCTGATACTGTCCCGTTAGTTTCAGCTTTAGGATGTTGGTCCCTGCAACAAAAAGTCTGGGCACCTCAGATTTAGTCTTCCTCAGGGCAGGACGGACGTCTGTAAGTCAAATGTTTGTCATGAGTAACGTCCCGACTTTTCATGCCTCTCAATGAGAGCTTTGATCGTGTTTTATTTGCAACATATAATTTTAAGGTAATGCATAAGATGAAAACATAAAGTTAAGGAGTATTCTAGTGTGTTAGTGGGGAAAGTAGTAGAGGAAAAAATCAGATCACGGTAAAATAAAAAACTGACATATCTTAAAAACAATAAGTTTGCTGTAGCAAACTGGCAATCTCTTCAGCATTTGTCTGTTTTCTTAAAAACTGAACAAAACCAGAATGCAGTAAAAACTCATTTTCTTCTTCTCTGTATTTTTTTAAATCTCTGAGATTCATTCAGACTTACAAATTTAAAACATCCTGATCTGCTGTTTGTCAGGCTGCACGGACACACACACACACACATACACATACACACACACACACACACACACACACAGATGGCTACTGCATTTAAACCGATGTAACCTGACAACACTGTGAAGAGACCATGAAATGAAGGCACATGTGAGCTTCCACAGGGAGCGTCGCCTGTTTCATCAGACTTCAATAAAAACTGAAACACATATTTACAGGTTTCTAACCAGGACACACACACTGGTTTACATAAGAATTCATGCTCATTAAATATTTTTCATGTTTCGTCCCTTTAAAGTCACAAACATCAGTGTTTATGGGATTTTATGGGATTTTATATGACATCTAAACATTGCCGTTGGATTTGGCTCCATGAGTGAAAACTTTGCAGAATTTTCTTTTGCTGAAACTGCAGCTGCAGGTCTTTAGACTGACATTTCTGCCAGTTCTTCTTTGCAGAATAACCCAACCTTGGTCCGACCGGATGGAGAGAATGGCTGAAACGATTAATCGGATTAGTCAAATGAATCGTGATGAGTTGATTGTTGGAATAAACGTCAAGTAATTTCGCAATCGATTAATTGCTAACTGGAGAACACAGACTCAAAAAAGGCCATTTGCTGAAAAAACGATATATTCAGAGCAAAACTTCAGCTAAAACAGCACAGAATACATTTTGCATTTAAGATTAAAACACCTTGCAAGTATGCTTTAACCAAAACCAAAAGGAATCCGGTGTTATTGCATTTTAGGCAATAAAATGTTTATTTTCTTGTTCAAAATAAGAATTTAATTATACATTTATTTGCATCTTTTAATCTATTTCTAATGTATAAAAATGCTGAGGTGGTTAAATGAACATTTTTATTAATCCAATTAACTGATTAGTGGTCAGAATGATTGATTACTAAAATCATCGTTAGTTTCCCAATTAGATTTAGGACTGGACTTTGACTGGGCCACTCTGAACCATTCAGTTGTATCTCTGGCTGGATGTTCAGGGTGGTTCTCCTGCTGGGCGCTGAACCTCCACCCAGTCCTGTCACATGCTGAGGAGCAGCACAGCGCTGCAGCTGCAGCCACTGACATTTTTCCAGGTGTGTTCAGGCTGATGCAGTGTTAGCTTTCAGCTACACACATTTTACTAGTAGAATAAAAAGGTTGATTGAGGTGTTGGTTAACCAGAGCAGCTCGTTCCTGCTCTGATTGACACAGGGTTCGTCTTGCACCTCTTCCATTAAGACCACATTTATAAAGCGCATGAATAAAGACATCCTGTCAAAAGGAAAGCTGGATTTATGCTCAGATTAAAATACACACAGGTGAACTGTTCATTAATTAGTTATTAATGAGGTTAATTTTAAAGTGAATTGCATGCATTTAATTTTATTCAGGGGTATCACAGTAAAGGGGCCAGTAACATGAAATCTAATGTTAAAATTTCAAGAGGATATCGGTGAAATGAAGGGTTTTACATCTGTGCATTAATTTGAACTCAAGGGGAAATGACCAGTTCAGCAATAAGAAATCAGCTCTCATAATATCTTTACTTATTTAACTTTAAGAATAAAATCTAAACTACTTGGTTTTGCATTTCTGATTAGACAAAAAAAAATCCTCTCTCTTGTCTCTTTGGGCATAAATGCTGAGTGATTTATTGCTGCAACCTGAACACAATCCACAAAAAGACCCAACATCATGCTGTCCATCGAATATTGACTTTGTTGCTCGTTTCATCCATCATTTCACTCTAACGGGGTTTAAATCAGGAGGTTTAACTTCCTCTGCGTCAAAGTTTTATCAGACAGACTCTTTTATTTAAGCAGCATTTATTTTTTGCTGCGCAGTGGAGTCGCGCTGTTGTGATGTCAGTCACGCTGATTTGCAGCAGCGCACATCCCGGAGCTGCACCTGTTACTTCCACAAATAGTCTACCTGCCAACATCCCGGACGGACACAAACGAGGCTCGTCAACCTGATGACTTGTGCTGAGATATTTCACACCCCTGCTCCTGTGGAAACCATTACTGTTCCAACTTACAGGAATAACATTCATGAAAACAACCAGGAAACTTAGGGGACATAAAGAGGAGTCGCGTCCAGACGTTTAGGATTCAGTAGTTGAGCTGCTTTGTGCATGCAGGGGGAGACTTACTCAGCTGGTTGGGCTCATGGCTGCCGTTCACTCTGCCGTCGGGATGAATCTGGAGGTGGAAGCCGATGCCAACCCTGCAGTAGAGCCTGCAGGTCCTGCGTCCCGAGCTGATCCCCTCCTGGAGGAGCAAAGAGGCGCGCTGCGCTGCGGCCGCCGCGCAAATCCAGTGAGCGAAGGTCAGAAGGCAGAGAGGAACATTCATTCTTCCCAGCTGGAGCCTCTCACCACGCCGCGTTTCGCATTTTAACCGATCCAGTGGCGAGGTCAAGAACCCAGGAGGTTTGCGCGCACAGGCGTGCGGCGCGGGTGGGCATTACCCCGGCCGCGGTGCTTCTGCTGGGGATATTTATAACGCCAGTGAGCTCACAGCTTCATGCATGCCTGAGCTCTAAAGGACGCTCTTTCAGCGGGATTTTGTCGCCGAGATGCCACTCCTGCTCAGCACCGACCCACAGCAGCGGGGCGTGAAGGAAGCTCCACCGACACGGAGCTCTTTCCCAGAGATCCTCCGCGCCAGGACGCAGCATTTTACGCACAGAGACAAAATATTTTGAACGGGAGTGGGTCGGTTTGTCCCCGGAGCTGCAGGACGAACGTCTCACCTCCTTCTATCTATGAAGAAAAGTTTAAATCTCCGACTCAGACTCTGGCTCTGAGGCTTTGTGATGTTTTACCTTCACACGGCTGCAGGAGAAGCTGCTGAAGAGCTAAATCATGTATTCTGAGCGGAATGCATGTCCAGGGTACGGACAGAATAAAAACTTAATGCTTCAGTAAAACAGCCATTCCTAATGAATATGGTGATTTTTACAGATTTACAGAGCCTCATCACATTACAACAAATGTTTTGTTTTATTCAGGTTTTAAGTGATAGAG